ACCTAAATTTACTCGGGGTTTCCCCCTAAAATAAAATTTTTTTACTCTTAGAACCACTCGAGGTTCTCCTTACGGTTGTTGAGCTTGTCACCGTCAATGTGTCTGACCCTCGTCTTCTTGTCTGGATTTGGAACCCATTGAATTGCGACAAGCTTGCCCATGGAGATTGAACCGCGATTCCGAAGGTTAAGGTTCAAGTGTCCCAAGTTGTTGAGGACTGGGGTAAGAACCTTGCCTGTCTCCTTGTTGCGGATTTGTATGGGTAGGGTTGGGAAATTTCGTAAGCGTCATCGGCAACAAGGGTTGCCCAAACTTCCTCTTCTTCGTGTTTCTTCTTCTTCCTCTTCTTCCTCTTCTTCCTCTTCTTCCTCTTCTTTCGAAATTCCTTCTTCAATTTGGTACTCACGAATTACGGTGTTGGAGGTTCTGTCCTTTCCGAGTACCTTCCAGATGGCGTCTATCTCTTCGAAGAAACGGTAGATGAGTCTGGCAAGGTCTCGGTTCTCTCTCGCGTAAATGCGCAAGGTTTCCGTCAAATCATTCAGGCATTTCTCATTGGAAGCTTGGTTCATGAGGACATCGGCTTTGAGCTTGGTCATCTCTTCCATAAGACTACTTTGGAGAGTCTTAACGGTGTTTGTCAGATGAGCTTTCAAATTCAAAATTTGAATTTGAACTGGGCGCTTGTCTGGCAACATTGAAAGGACATCTGCCATTGTGTTCGGCTTCGGTGCTTGTTCGGACATCGAAAAAATGAAGTGGTTTGAGAATGACGGTTTTACTTCAAAAAGCTTGTTATGACGGTTAAGTCATACAACAAGTTTAAAATAATATCTTGTTCTTCTTCTGAACGTTTGTTGTCTCTTCCGATAAAAGTTTCGAACATGAGAACCAAAAAACGTTTTTTGAGATTGCGGAAGAGTTCAGGCAAACGTTCATATTCTGGATATGTTGGGAGCAGTTCAAAACATCTGAGCTGACTTTCGGACAAAATTGGGACAATGTCAGAAAATTCATCTTTGGTCGGACTGCTTGAAGGTAAGTCCCTTACATGTAAGTAGCTCTGGTAAAGTCTTCTCATTTCTGCTAACTTTTGGAGTATAGCTTCGTAGTTTAGAAGTTTTAATTTTAATTGTCTTATTCCACTCTTTACTTCTAAACGGTAAGTATCCATGAGGTCAAGAGTAGCTTTGGTAGCTTTAAGTGGAGCTATCTGTTCCTTGACTTGTGCAATTTTGGTTGCAATTGTGGTTTGAGCTCCTTCAAGTTCGCCGTCTATGTCGTTCTCAACGCCTTCAACCATGGCTTGAAACTCTTCATCGGTCCATTGAGATTGGTGTGGGACGAATTTAACTTGCTTCATTCAAAAAATGAAAAAAAATGTTTTTACTCAAAACGTTAAGGTTGACTGAACTGGTTGGATGTCGCCTTCACAGGTTATGTAGAACGGCTGACCCGAGAAGTGAAGGAGAGACTGAATTGCCAATTTCATATGGGGTAGGGGGTTCTCCTTGTTTGGTATTTTTATCCAAGGACGTTTGTTTAGGAACTTAACAAGAGCTTCTCTTTTGGCGTCCTTTATGTCGTCGTAGGCTGTCCCGTCTGGTATTTGAATTGGAATTCCAGTCGAAGTCTCGAGCTGAAGTGTAGACCTCCAGAATACTGGTGTGAACTTGACTGACCTTGGGCTTCATTACCCTGCGCAAGTACTGCTTAACAACTTCATTTATCTCTATAAGGTAAATTGCCTCGTCAAATCCTTCTGGCATTCCGAGTCCTTCCATCCGACAGGAAAATATTTTCCCGACAACTGGAAAAAATTTTCCGACAACTGGAAAAAATTTTCCCGACGACAGGAAGAACTCTTCCAGTTGTCCGTCCGTAAACCATTCAAATTTTTCGAAAATTGAGAACTTTTGGTCGAACTTCAGAAAAAGTTTTTCCTTCCGACAGGAAAGGTTTTTCCTTCCGACAGGAAAGGTTTTTCCTTCCGACAGGAAAGGTTTTTCCTTCCGACAGGAAAGGTTTTTCCTTCCGACGGTTAAGCCACAAACAGATGTCCGACGTCCCACCAACCGAGCCCATATCCCAACCAGAAGAACCGAAAGCTGCAGAACCACAACAGCTTTCCTCAGCAACCTCAGTTCCAGCAAGTACCTCCGATTTACTACCAATTTCCACCTCAATGTTACTACCCACCACAAGGCTTCCCGAACTACCCTCCTCCTCAGCCTATGCCTTACTTCCCCAACCCTTGGATGTTTATGCAAAACCCTGCCCCACAATTCCAATCTCAATCCAAGAGAGACAAGAGTTCGAGGAAGGTCTGAACCGCTTACGCAAAGAGTATGCTACTACCCCAATGGAAGAAGACAGGCTCTCACTCTCTTCCCTCAAATCGACCGATTCGACTCGTACCACAGATTCGGTTCGTGACGTGAAGACTACCTCAAGCAGTCTGAGAGACTCTTCATCCTACAACCATTTACAGTTGGAGCTCTCAAGAACATGCGCAATTACGAAGGTCAGACACCAGCTGGAGACCGTAAAACAGACGTACTCGCAAGAGCAGTCCAACTGGTCAAGACAAAGACCGAGATAGTCGACTTCATTCTTGCAGCTTGCCCATACAAGTAAAAAAATAAAACAATTACGAGTTAAACTTTTTACTCTTTCTTTTCTGAGTTGTTTAGAGCTGGTTTCTCTTGTAGGAACCTTTCGTACTCTTCCATGGTCATGTAATTGCGAATTTGGTACGCAATTCCAGGTTCGTTGTTTTTGAACCTTACGTATGTAACGCTTCCATCCTCCTCAGGGAAGTAAGCTGCTAACATCTGACCAAGTTTTCTCGGTGACTCGGAGCTCATAAAATGTCACTTTTTAAACGTTAAGTTTTTAGTCTTATTTTTACCCTTTGTTTACCCTTTGTTTGTCAAGGTAGTATTGGAGTGCAATTTCTCCAAATTCTCTGTGTCGGAGTTCTTCAGCATTTTCCAAGGTGTTCCTGGAGAACTCAAAGAAGTTGTCAAGAACATACTGCCATGCTGCTTCTTCTGAGTTCGTCGGTATTTGGAAGTGTTGCACCTTCGAGTCTTCGGACATGAAAAAATAACACTTTTTCTATTAAACCGTTTACAATTTGAATTTTGTTGCTGAATTCAGCAAAAATATAATTTAGGGTAGATGGGTATATCTAACCTCTTTTCTAACCTCTTTTCTAACCTCATGAATTTTCATGAATTTTATACAGAAAATGCTTGTTTGAGGTCGAGCCACTTTTGGCTCCACCGTATTCTTTCAACCAAAACTCATGAATTCGGCAAAAATATATTTTAGGGTAGAAGGTTAGATATAACCTCTTTTCTAACCTCTTTTCTACCCTCTTGAATTTGTCATGAGTTTTCCCGAAATAAAAAATAAAGTTGGTTTTTTTAAAAAAATATTTTTTATTTTTATTGTAAGAACATGTTAGCAACAACAGCACCAAACTCGTTAGTCATGAACCCAACTTCAATGTTAGTAGAGATGAAAAGCTTCATTCCTTCTTCATATACTTTCGAAACAAAAATCCAGAAGATAAAGCAAGAACTTTTAACAAGTACTTTGGACTGTTGTGCGAAAGATGAAACAAATGAAGAATATCTTTATGAAATGCAGGATATTATTGACCATTTACCCAAATTGCCTGAAATTCAGCAACAAAAGCTCACTATTCCTGAATTCGATGAAATAGAAGTCAAAGCAACTGACTCAGTAGAAATAAAGAAGTTCATACGAAAGGTTAACTATGAGTTTCTTGGATTTCATTGCAACCACAAAGTCATGGACAAAGATTGCGATATGGTATATAAGAACATCTCTGACATATACAAATCTGGGGAGTTTAAGACCTACGACAACTTTGTTTCGTTAGTTGCTGAATGTGTATGGCAGATAAGAGATAAAGATAGAAGAGGTAAGATATGGAATGAACAAATAAAACCAGCAGCTTTTGAGTTAAAGAGAGCAATTGACGCCTTAGTCATACTAGCAGGTAAGGTTTCAGAATATAACGCAAAAATGAACCCACAATGTTCTAAATGTAAGGCAGCAATTAGGAAATATAACTACTCCGTCAAAGAGATAGAACGTATGAGAAACGACTATGCTGACTTAAAGAGGGAGGCAGAGAAACCAGCAGAAGATAAAATGGACATGTTGACATTTCTAAACAAAAACTATCCAACAGCTGACGATTTCCTTCTTTCAGATGTCAAGAAGAAATATAAAGAAACCTTCGGCATTGTTAAAACATTCGATGTACTGACAGAAGAAATAGAAGCTACGAAATTGTTTAGAATTTCACGAATTCACAATGTTTACCATGTAAAACGCTTATAAAATAACTGGGGTAGAAATGAGGTTAGATATCGGGTTAGATATACCCATCTACCCTAAAATATATTTTTATTGAATTCAGCAACAAAATTCTGAGTAAAATAATTTTTAGGGCTTGTGTCAAACCGTTGAGTTTTCACAAAATTTAAAAAATAACGTTTACCATGTGAAACGTTTATAAAATAACTGGGGTAGAAATGAGGGTAGAAAACGGGGTAGATATACCCTTCTACCCTAAAATATATTTTTGCTGAAAAAAATGACCAAATTTCATGAAATTTCTCTAGACCGACTTTTACAGGGGTAGCCAAAACTCATGAAAATCGTGAAAAATAACAGAGTATTTTGACAACTTCAAACAAGCAGAGTAAATGAACCATTTATTTTTATTGACTTTTTACAATTTGAACTTTGTTTGCGTAGATATGAATTCTGAAAGAAGTATGAGGGTCTTGTATGACTTTGTACTTCTCCCATAGTTCATGTCTGTCAAACTTACCTGCCATGGACTCTTTCATAAGTTCCATGAAATCGTCTTCGGACAATCCAGGGAAAAGTATAATGTCAGTAAGTATTCTTTTAACATCTTTACTTAAACTCTTTGCTGTCTGTACACAAATGACAACTGAGATGTTAAAGTGTCTGAGCTTCTTAAGAATTCGACACATATCTTGTTCTCTGTTCTTTAACAAAGGATGAGAAGCAAAGTCATCTAAGATAAGAAGACATCTATGAGGGTAAGTCTTCCAATCGTAAGATTGCAATTTCTTCGAAATGTATTCTATCTCTTTCTGTTTGTTTCTGAAGTGTTTCTTCTCTAATATTCTTTGCATTTCCTCATTTGGGTCTTTAAACTTAGAATTTATATACTCATTTATAGCATTATACTTCAAAACTCTTCTTTGGTACTTCTTTATCCAATCTAACAACTCAGAGTCTTTTATACATACTAACTTAGACTTCTTTATAATATCTTTGAACGAATTGACGGTTTGGTCAAATTGACCAGAAGTACTACAAATGACAACTAACTCATAGAATGGGTTCTTCTCATCTAGTTCTTGTTGTTGTGCAGCCATTTTAAGATAAGTGAAAGTCTTACCCGACCCAGGTGGTGCAATTAGACCTGTTATACCATTCTGAGCAAATAAGAACTTGTCATGTATAGGCTTTATCTGAGCATTTTCTAACTTCCTCTTGTTCTTCTTCAAAACATTCTCAAATTTCTTGTCAATGTCAGCAAACTTTTTTTCTAACATATTTTTAGAAAAATTAAAATTTTTATCTTTTAGAAAATGTCTAGCGATTTCGCTATCTATATTCGAGACAAACTTTTTGACAGCAAAACATCTGTCGACCATAAAATCTTACATAGTGTAAACAAGAAAGGTGAATTTGTTCTAAAGTTCTGTTTCTGGGAATATGACAAGAACCATAAAACATTAAGCAGAGCAGTCTTAAAATTTGTCAATGACAGACTTGTTGACAGAGATGACGCCTCTTGGAGAGATGAAGTCCAACAAAAGTTCTTAGAATGCAAAGAAGACACATGCGCTGTTCTTGAAGATGAAATAGGAAACAGAATAGAAGAGCTATTAAAGGACAAAGAACTTTTACATAAATATGGTTCTGAGAAATTTGACATAACTCCACCAGAAAAGAAGAAGAAGAGAGAGAAGAAAGAAAAGAAAGTAGAAGAAGAGAAGAAAGAGCCAGAGCCAGAGCCAGAGAAAAAGAAATTTGACATGTAAAAATAAAATTTTATTTTTAGAACATTTCTGGGTCAATGTCAATGTTCTCTTCCTCTTTAGGAGCAAACACTGGCTTAGACTCTAAAATCTTTTTACCCAATTTACCTTGAACTTCAACTATCTTAGACTCATAATATTCATAGTCGTCTGCTTTCTTTGGTTCATAAGGTATAACAAGTTTGTATGCTTTGCCTTCTTTAAGGTTTGAAAACCTTCTGTCAAAATTTTCTTTGACTGCTAACAAACCTTCTATGTCTAAGTCTTCAAATTTCGCACCATTTTTAGTCACAATAGCAAACTTAACTGGTTCGATGTTCCAAACTTTGTCAAATGTAGACTTTTCAAAATGGTAGAAGTAAACATTCAAATAAGCGAATGGGTCTAGTTCTTCTTTGACTTCTGTCATGTACTTGTTGACTGAGATGAATTTTGCCATCTTTTTCTATCGGATAAAAAATATTTTTTTTAAAATTTACTCAGAAAAAATTTTCTTTGTATATACACCATTCTGAACATCTAAAAGACTTTTGACATTTGCCAAGAATGTACGTTTAGAAGCTGCCATATAACCATATTCTTGACAATATTGTTTATAATCATCATATAAAGACCTTTCATCTAATGACACAAAGTCAGTTTCATCTACGAACAGTTCATATACACTCTTGTTTGCTTCTAACAATGTTTGTCTCTCTTCGGTATGTGGAATTTGTCTTGGATTGAACTTAGAAATATCTAATGTCATGAAATATGAGAACAAGTGGTTGTAAAAGTCAGATGTCAAAGTTTCTGCTAAGTCGTCAAAATATTCTGTATCTTGCATATGAGAATCTGACGTTCTGACAACTACATATCTTCTGTCAGAACTTTCTAACTTCATCGGAACAGCATTGTTTGAAACCATAATGAAGTTTGCAACATTTTCACAAACTCTTTGGTCTTTATACTTTCTTTCAACAACTCCAACTTTGTCTGTTATAAGACTCTTCAAAGCATCTGAGTTCAAAACTTTTGTTGTATCTATACTTTGAAGTTCATTGCAAACTATAAGTTTCATATTCTCTATTGAGGAGTTAAACTTGCCACAGATGTTTTCTAAGTTTGTCATATTCGGATTCGAATAGCCCTCTAACAGTTTGCATAAGATATCTGTAAAGAATGTGTTCTTACCTGTTCCTTGTTTTCCAATTATAATGAGAGCAGTTTCATTTTTAGCACTTGGATGTTGTAAGATGTTTGCAAACCAACATAAGATATACTCATAAACCTTTTCGTTTCCATTGCATATAATTTCTTTGACATGGTCTAACCAAGCTTCTATAATACTGTGTTTCCATTCTACTTGTTCATATTTATATCCAGTGAAGATAGAATAGAAGTTTGGAGAAGGTGTATAAAACTTTATACCACGAACTGAAAAATCTTCAAGTTTTGACAATAAGATATCCCAAGCATCTAACATCTTCATGCCAACTTGTACGACTTTTATTTTCTTAAGTTTCTGTCTACATTCTTGTTCTGAAACTATGGTTGCTCTTGGTTTGTTAAAGACAACATCCCATTCTTTCATGACATAACATTCTGGGGCAGAGTCGACATAAATGACTAAACGTTTCAAATTCTCGACTGCTTTGTTATAGTCTCTAAATGGACACATATTTCTGAACGCTTGGAAGTCATAAAAATCTGAAACGTCTATTCTGTACATTTTTATAAAAATAAAAAAAAATATTTTTTTTATTCTTGACTTTGTTGTTGCATTTGTTCCATTTGTTGCATTTGTTGTTCTTGAGCTATTTGTTGTTGAAGTTGTTCTTGTAGTACAATACTTTCACCAGTTGCATCTTCCAATTCGAAACTTTCTGCCGTCATTGACAAATACATAGGACATAAAAGTTTTACAGGAACAAAGTTTGCGTCAACTAAGGTTAAGTTTATGTTTGCTAAAGTGTTTGAGTTTACTAAAGCTGAAAATTCTGCATTCGAATGAACAATAGGCAAACCAGCAGAGAAAGTGTTGTTTATACGCATGAGTATCTTTTGGTCATAATAGTTTCTGTCGACATTCGAATAACACTTTGAACCTAAGTTTGAAACAATATATAAGATTGGTGTGCTTAATGTCAATGGAATAGACAAACCTTGTATGACACCTTTTCCTGTTATAGGAAACTGTTGGTAGTAAAAACCAGATATAAGTTTTGTATTATAGCTCATATCGTTTATAGTAAACTCAGTCGGACATCCAAACATAATGAAACCTGCTCTAGTTGCAGCACATGTTACATCCGTCCTTAAAGTATTAAATAAGTCAACAAAACCTGTTGGTGGTATATCTGAGTAAGTATCTTCAAAGGAGTATTTTTTACCATTCACAACAACAAAGTCTTCTGGTGTCAAAAGAGCAAAACAGGCTTTAGTCGTCATCGTGTTTAAAGTTAGTTTACAATATCGTCCTTGAGGACTTTGTAAGTTTGTTGTTATAGAATTATATGACTCAGGGTTTTTAGTCGTAATAGTATAAACCACTATGTCTTCTGCCATTTACTTAGCAAGTAAATTTTAATGAAATGTTGTGGTCGTCAAATATTTTTATGACGTCTGGGAAACTATATTTTAAGTTCAACGTTTCACCTCCTTTCATAACGTATATCTTGTCAATGACATTATATGAAACACCACAGCAACTAACGTCGGGTTCTATTTCTTTTGATGTTTATATCGTCTGCCTCTGTCAAAAGTTTCAATAGTTCTTTCAAAATTTCATGAGGTGCGATGACATATGAGTTCACTTTTACAGGGTTGTGTTCGACCAAGTTTAACATTATACCTAAAGCTTGACAAATCTTCTCCTGAGTTTTAAGTTGTCTTTAAGTTGTTGGTAGTCGTTTCGAATATCTGCAACAGAACTTAAGTCTCTGCTAACTTCAGGATATGTTGGTTGTTCTTTTACAGGAACTATTGTTATACCATCTTCGTCTTCGTATGTTTCCCCACTTCAACATCTCTTTCTTTGACATTGACAACAACACTTTGACTGTTTGTTTGAGTTGGTGAATTTAACTTCACATCTGCCACCGCCATTAAACCTTTTGAAACACTCACGCTTCTATTTTTCGGAAATGACATTTTACTTAGAATAAAAAGATGGACGTATTCGAGTATCTCTTCGAATTGAAGCAGAACAAAGTTTACACACACAAACAATACAAGTTCATTGACAGAATATTCTTTACACAAACAATGGAAAATGTTATAGAATAGCAGTCTTTGCTGAACCAAAATATTTTCATAAAGCAAAGAAAGTTGGTTATAACGAGATGGTTGAAAGTTCTTGAAGCAGACAAAAATATAACAACAAAACTGACCGATATTTCTAAAGGTAAGTTTTTAATACAATACTATGTCAAAACTGGCGTACTGTCAATATTTGACGGAGAGAAGTCAGTTCAAGAACAACTTACTGACTGCTGCCCAAAATCTGCTCGATGGAAGCTGTCGTTATGCCAATCTGAGGAGCCCAGCAGGTTTCATCGAACGAATCTTCAAAGAGCATCTTCCGTGAAAAGTGCTATTGGTTTTGTAAACTTCTTTGCTTTCAATTCATTGGACCGTCTCTGTCACCAGTATATTGTATTTGAACTGTACCAACAGTTGAAATACCACCCATAAAGTCTTCTGAGTCAGCAAATGGAATGCCAAGCCAAAGTTTGAACGGTCTCCATTTGTATATTGATTTTTGACCTCCTGTATGAGTCCATACTTTCACATATGGCATAATAGAACTTTGCATTTCAGGGTTAATGGTTGTTGTGAAGTTGTTGTTAAAGTTCATAGCATCTAATGTCAAGTTGTATGACCTCATATCCTCAACTGTAGAATATTCTTCTCTTGGATAATATTTGCCATCTATGTTTATATGGTATTTAATACCAGGGTTGTAGAAGCAAGAATAGTCATTTATAGGTTCGTCTGAACAGTACAAACATAGTATCTGCATGTTTCATTGCAGTTTTAAAGCAATATCTGTTCTTGCACCTGGGTCAGCACTTTGGTTTCCAACTTCACCTGCAAAGTCTTTGACAGATATTTGGTGTATTAGGGAACATAAGTGGAACTGCAATATATTTGGCAGCTAAAGCATTTGAAATATCTGGGTCCAACATATAGACTGCAAGTCTGCTTTCTATTCTCTTGCATTCAAACTTTTCGCATGTGAACTTAACTGGGTCCCAAGCAGTTCCAGCAGCATTGAAGTAGTAGTTTACTCAGTGTTGAGGTTTGAGAAACCAAAGTCTAAGTCAACTTTGTCTTTGCAAAAGTCACAGAACTTGGCTCCACCAGTTCCAGCTACAGCAATGCTGAATGGGTCTTGCGTTGGTGCAATGACTAAGTTTTTTTGCTTGGAGTAAGTTCGATAGAAATTTTTCCTGCCCAGTTTGGCAAGTATCTTAAAAACCTGAAGATGAGGAAAGATGACAAAGGAACTCTAAGTTTCAATTTTACTTTGGTTACTGCTGCTGCAGTTTGTCCAGAAAGGTCAACATAAACTCCTGGAACGTTAGGGTCAAGTCTTCTTATTTTCTCAATAGTTGCATACTGGTCTGTTTGTTCTCTAGCTTGTGGTTGTACTGAGTTTCTCAAAGCGAACCATTCATAGTTTGCCCATGTTACTGTTTTGAACTAAGTCAGAGTTAGATATATCTTATATCCCATTGAAAACTTCTGGAGCATATTGGTATCCGACATAGAAAATTCCATTGCAACCTTTCTTGTCAGACAACTTGGCAGAAGGTTTTATTTCAATGTCTTGTTCCACGTATAAGAATGAGTTGTCAATAGAAATAATATGAAACCTGTCGCAAGCAATATCTACTGTTGTTGAAGAACCTTCACCAAACTCACCTACGTTTCCATATGAAACAGCAGTTGTATATTCGTAAGTTCCAGGAACTATTTCTGACCTTCTAATGGCATTGTCGCATTCGTTATACCATTCGGAAACATTTCCATTCATAGCATCCAAAACTGTTGGCGTTATATTCTGAGCGGCGTACATTTCATATGAGTAAAAATATAGAATAGTTGGATTTATATGTCATAATAGAACCCACGTGGACCAAGCTTTACTTTCTTCCTGACTGAGTTTTTAACTCTTCTTTTTCCTTCATTGCCCTCTGCTTGAAGTTGTTGCATCTTTGCATTATGTTCATCTAGTATGTTGCAAATTTCCCATGTCCTTTTTGCCTTTTGGCTCTGGTCGCCCATCTCAGGTAACCTATATCTAGAAAGATTTTGTCATAGTTTGTATTTGAGTCGTCGCTTATTGTTTGCATGACTCTGTCCTGAGTTTCTGGTTCAAGCTCTTCAAACAGTGCCTGTCCATATGGAATATGCTCGTTTCCAAATATAGTTTTTGTAGCCATTCTGGTTTTCTTTCCATGTTACCAACAATATCTTTTGTGAATGGGAAAGCTTTTACCCAATCTTTCAGTCTTGCGTCGTTTATTTCTGTAGTTGGTTTTATTTTGTCAAGGAACATGTTTTTCAATACTAACATTTCATTTGGTACTGTCCATTTGAGTTTTCTTAAATATTCATCCCTTCTCAGTTCATTGTCTGCAAAGTAAGTTTTTATGACATTTTGCAAACTTTCGTTTGCAAGGTCATGTACAATAGGTTCTCTTCCTTCGCTCTCCCTAACTTTCTTTCTAAACTCTTCACCAAATATACCATCTCTATGGTTCTGTGTAGTTCTTTGAGATAAATGTTCTAGAACGTCAGGTGTTATATTTCCATCAGCCATGTTCATTTCATACTGGTTCAAAATATCTGCATCTTTCATATCTTTCAATGGCATTAAAGCCGCGCTGAAAATACCAGCTACATCTGGTTCACCATTCACTTCCATTGCGTCTACAACTTCTTGGAATTGAGGTTGTAAGTTTATGAACCACCTATCTGGATTAGCTTTATGACCCCATCTCATTGTAGTTCCATCGTCTGCAGAAACAAAAGTAGGTTTGTTTCCATCTTGGCTAGGTTCTGAATGAACTTTAAACAATGTTTCATTTCTATATGTTTTCTTGAAATTTAACCTTTTATTTTCACCGAGTTCATCCGAAGATTGAACGTTAAATGCTCGTAAGTAAAAAGGATTGTTGTATTTGCGTACATTTTCTTTCAGTACTTCCATTCTATGCTGAATATTTTCATCTGGTGTTGGAGTCTTTTGTATGTCGGCAAACATTTTTCGATATTCTTCTACTATGTCAGCCGAATTTTTTTTAGACTCTTGGAAATATTCCATATTCTCCGCATACTCTTGTTGAGGGTCAAGATTTTTCGGCTGTTCCAAATCTTCATCTAGTTCTGTGAAGTTAGTTTCCAAAGGAAGGACTTGTTCGTTTCCTTCAGGCTCTTCTAGCTGTTGTTGCTGAACTATTTCTTCCATGTCTGGTTGTATCTGAACTTCTTCCTGTGGAGTTTCTTGTACCTCATCTGCTGGCATTTCATATATTCCGAGACCGTTTTCAACAAGTTCCCTATTTAAGTCATTCGCATTCATAAGCCTCTGTTCTTTCGTTCCGTCTCTATTTTTTACGCGTTTCATGAAGATAGTTGAATCATCATTTAGCTCTGACACCAAATATCTCGGAGTAAATTCGTTCATGTCATTTGGATGATATGCTATTAAATCATATCCCTTTGCGAGCTTGTATTTTCCAGGTTTGAAATTATATCCGATTTGGTGTTGAGCCATAAAGCTAAATAGGTTCGGGTCAGTATTTCCTTCATTGAACTTTCTAATAGCTTCTTTATATCTGTCACTAAAGTCAAGAGTATCTGGGTAACCATAGTCTTCTTTAAGCATTTTTAAGAATTCTTGGTTTCCTTGTTCTCTACTTCTTTTATGTCCTTGCTCTGGTTGTGGAGGTGGTTGTTGTGCAGGGTTTTGAACTGTTGGTTGTTGTGCAGGGTTTTGAACTGTTGGTTGTTGTGCTGGTTGTGGAGGTGGTTGTTGTGCAGGGTTTTGAACTGTTGGTTGTTGTGTTGGTTTTGGTGCATGCCTGTGTCTATGTCCATGTGACGATGTAAATGTTTTAGGTAGTCCTGGTGCAGGTGCTTCTCTTGGAGGGTTTGGTGGTATATAAGTTCCACCAGCTGGCACATATGTTCCATCTGCAGCGTAATGTCCTACCTGACTTTTCGTTCTTAAGAAAGCATTTACTAGGTCTGTTTTGGTCTGTTGTAACTCTTTTTCTTGACTTTTCACAACAGTTGCTCTAACGGCGTCATAGGCACTTTGAACTGCCTGTCTCGTTGCTGCATCTGTTATTTTCGTCATATTTTGTGCTACTTCTTTTAACTCTTTGTCGAAACCTTCAGACTTCAGTTTCTTTCCAGATGAGAAGTCGTTCACTTGTTTCACCTTACTATGAAGAGCTTCGAAAGCGTTCTTAAAGTCAGCATTTGTTAAAGCTTCATTTGAACTATCTTCATCCGCTTGTATTTTTGTCCTTATTGACCCTATGAGTTGGGCTGCTTTAGCGTTGGCTTGGGCATCTAACCAGTCATTGTTAGCTTTTATATATTCTGCGCTTTTCATTGCCTTTTGCATAGCCGCGTCGTTATTTTTACTTTCTTGTGCTAAGTTTTCATACTGTACGGTTTGGTTTTGCAACTGTAAAAGTTTTTCTGCCTTTACATTTGCTTCAACTTCCTTTTTATACTCATCGCTATCCATATATGTCTTCAGGGCTTTTTGTTTTATCTCTTCATCTTTCAGTATTTTATATTGAGTAGTATGGTTTTTCAAATTTATAACATCTTGTTCCATTTTTGCTACTTCTGTTGCTTTTTCTGACACTTTTTTCGCATATTCCTCTGTACTTAGTTCTTTCAGTTGTTCTTCTTTCTTCTTTTTCTCTACGTTTAACTCATTGAGTTTCTTTGTGTGTCTGTCATATTCTAGTTTCTTTTCGTTTTCACTTATTTGCTTCTGTATGTCTATGTTTGACTTTTTGACATCTGTTATTTGATTTTTGAGTGAACTCAAATTCATTTGACTTTGAGGGTTATAAGCTGTTCCGTCTGCAGCTCCACCATAGCCTGCCATTTTCGCTAAAAGTGCCGCTCTTAAACCTCCACTCTGTGCACCAACAACTCGGTTTAAAAGCATAGGGTTGCTTGACATTTGTTGCAACATAGTGGGGTCATTCATAATTTGTTGTTGCAACTGTTGTTGTGGTGTCAGTTTTACTATTGGATGTTTCAATGCTCGCTTCCTCTTACGTATATTCTTACGTAGCTTACGTGGCATTTTAAGTGAAGTAAAAAACAGTTTTTGACAGATGTTTATATGACACTTTTTGTTCAGCACAAAAAACTACTCGGTCAAAGTGTTGTCAGTTTTGTAAAATAACCGTCCTATCTCCGTGCCTATGACGAAGAAATCTTGACAAATTCAAGAGGGTAGAAAAGAGGTTAGAAAAGAGGTTATATCTAACCTTCTACCCTAAACATTATTTTTGTCTGATTTTACGAAGAAGTCTTGACAAAACATTTACGAAGAAGTCTTGACAAAACATTTACGAAGAAGTCTTGACAAAACATTTACGAAGAAGTCTTGACAAAACATTTACGAAGAAGTCTTGACAAAACATTTACGATGAAATCTTGACAAAACATGAAAACATATATAATTTGTGAAAAGTGAAACATTATATAATGTTTTCGACCAAGAAGACTAACAATTTTCCGAATAAAAACTTCATTTATACTAAACATCTTCAGGGCGTAACGCGCCTGGAAGCCCTCCGAATAAAAACTTCATTTATACTAAACATCTTCGGGGGCTAGAAGGCACGAAGTGCCTGGAAGCCATCCCCCAAGAAAAAAAAAACTTCATTATACTCATTCATCCTCAGGGCTAGAAGGCACGAAGTGCCTGGAAGCCCCACTCCTTTTTTTTTTTTTTTTTTTTTTTTTTTAACTATTTGTTTGTTATAATTTGACATTTATAAATTATTATAATTAAAAAAAATTTTTTTTATTAAACATAATAAATAAACAATAAAAATCATTGTTATTGAGGAAGACCAAGTCTTGTTTTCATCCTATTGATCTCTTGTATTCTTCCTTGTTCTTTCAAAGTTTCAATGATTGTTTCGATTCCTGATGAATGCCCATTATCATGCATCCATCGAGTAAATGTAATGAAACTCGAATCAATCATTGTTTTTGTTGCTTCAACAACGAATGATTTATCATATATCGATGAACAGATCTTAGATTCATCAAAACCATAAATAAATGGAATATCGAAATGACACTTTTCAATTAAAATTTGGATAGTCAAATCTCTAATTTTGACATCACCAAGATGGCTACAGAACTCACAAATCTGTTTTGGCCATCCTGAATCTGCAAGTTTCGTGATTGCCTCGCTTATTGGAATGAAAACATCATTGATATATAATTTATCAAGTTGAATTGTCGAAAGAGAAGCTGCATCAAGAATATCTCTAAATACTGTGAAATGTCTTGCTTTGAAAGGAGTGACTGTTGTGTCTTTATTCACCATTTCTGAGAATCCATATGATAATGCTTTGATGAATATCTGTCTAATGTTTTTATTCTTTATATATATTTTGTCATTCATGAATTCATTGATGTTTTGAAGTAAAAATAATTTGTTGAATTGATAAACTGATTCAAGAACTTTGATTGCAAGTTTTTCATCTTCAATTCGATAAAACTTCATAATTTCCATCAATGCTAATGCTGATCCATTATTTTCATTTATCTTCATTGAAAGATCATCAACAGTATTCCTAATGTTTCCTTCATTAAACATATCATCGGATGCATTAATTCCGAAAACTTCAAGAATACGGCTAATATAAACTGTTCTTTGTTTAATTAAAAGCTCTTCGAAATCTCGTGTATAATTCGATTCAATAGTTTTTTCATCAGCTAAAACAAATAAACATTGTAATGCTTTTGCACGACTTCTATATGACTTATTCTGATAAATGAAAAGAAGAAGCCATTTTACTGCTGTTTTAATCTTCCATTGTCTCAGAATAAATAATGAGCGCTGAACATTAATTTGGTCATCATGTATTTCATGTTCATAAGCTGTTTCGCTGAATATTGATTCAGAAGGAACAATTGATGAAGGTTTGTTTTCTGTAAGCCACAAATTAACTAAATGTTCTCTGATCTTAGAAATAGAAAGATTATTAGATTGTGCTAAATCTTTCATTATTTCATGAAGTTGTTTTCCAAGTTTCTCTTGTAATTTCGTGCTTGAATATAATTCACAAATAATGCGAGAAGGATCATTCATATGAGATTCTTTTGCTTGATCTTGGAATTCTTTATGTGATAATATCTCTTTGATTTTAATTTCATTCACTTTTTGAAGTTCACCAATAGATTTGTAAAAAGAAATCAAATTGTTAAATTTAAATTGTGGTGAAAGTTCTTTTAACATGATATCCTTGCTGCTCTTTGATGTTAATAATGAGATCAAACACATGTAATCATTGAAATTTGCTGATTTCATCTTATGAATCATAACATTTAAAATGATTGAATCTGTTTTAACACATAAAACACTTCCTAATGCAATATATTCATTAATTGTGTTGTAACAAACACAATCGTTAATCGTTTCTAATGGTGATTTCATCAATTTATGGAAATCAACAGTATTCATGTCATTTTCAATCAAAAGTGAAAGAATTGATTCTTGTTTCTCATATGTTAAATGATTAAGATACAAAATATGATAAATAAGTGACAAAATAACATGATTATGTCCATCAATATTATCTAATAAAGGAATTAATAATTCTGAAACATCTTTTGAGTTCATTAAAGATAAAGATTGAATAGAAAGACATAATTTTTCAGGAATTCCTGTAATAAATCCTTCTTTGATTTGTTGATTTTGAATTGGATCTTTAAATAATATTAAATCAAAATATTTTTGGAATTCATTATCAACAAGATAATTCTTAACATTTTCGAAATCAGTGTGATCTTTAATTAAATTCAATATTGCATTGCAATTCTTTTCTGGAATATTAAGTAATCCTTTTAATACAGAAATACTATTAGTTATTTCAATGATTTTCTCTCCTGTTGCGAATCTAATTGATTTTTCTAGTATTTGAAGCCATAAATTAATTGTATCATTCATTTGAAGAAAAGAAGAAGAATCACAAAGATATTGTAGACATAATTCCCAATTCAAATTTGTTAAATAAATTAAAATTTGTGGAATAACTTCTTTCGCATGCTTCTTAAATATATCTGTTGACCAAATAATGTCAATAACTGTTTCTTTATCGAAACTAAATATTTCAATCAAATTATTTAATGATGAAAAACCTGATGATTCTGCCAATTTAATGAATAAATTTTTCTTGAATTCATTTGATTGAAAATCTTCATAACTTATGACTTGTTTGTATTCTTTCGCCAATTGGTATATTGGTTTAACTTCAGCCATATCTTTAAATTGACTTAGTTTCTCTGAATATTCATTAGGATTCATTGGTTGTCCGTTTGTTAGTTGTTTAAGAGATCCGTAGTAAATTACATTTTTTATTGTAATTGTATCCGATGATGGACAACGTTTGAGTGGACTTCCAATAGAATCTCCTTGAGAAAAGTCTTCGTTTGAATTGGATCTGAAGAGTTTAGGTCTTGGAGAGATCCTAGATCTGATATAATTGTTTGGACTAGTTGTAAATGAGATGTTACTTTGTTTTGCAAATTCTTTGATTTCTTTCAATTCATTATCATTTTGAAATGTCATTTTTTCAAGAGCGGATGATAATTTGGTCTGATCTTGTACGTAATTAGTTAAAACTCCTAGTTTCTTTGTAACATCCCAATCTCTTCTAACAACTGATTCAATTATTACATCATCAAGACTTAAATTGTTTGATTGACAGAAAGAAATAGCATGCGCACGTATGAATTGGATTAGTTTTGTTGGTGACGTACATGAATGCATCAAATTAGTAATGAATCCGAATTTATCGTATCTAATATATTCAGATAAAGGAATTGGAACTGTAAGTTTCAGATCTTTCAGTTCTACTATTGATGAACGTAAAGTTGTAAGCTGATCCCATGCTTCTTGTGGTGTTTGATCCGGAGTTGTTGGAACTAATTTTCTGTATTGTTGCCATATCTCATTTAGGTATGCAGAATGTGAGTATTCATCTGATGAAAATGTTGAATGCGTTGTAAATGTAGCTGAAACTAATAAATAAGCATAACGAACATCGAGAATTTTGTGAGTATGAAGAAGAATCCACTGGATTGGTATTTTATTCGCCCATTGGCATATAAATGGGAGATATGATTTTGGATTGCTCCTTGCTTTTGGTGAATGATTGAAAAATTTAAGAAAATAAATGAGTAATTCTGGATGCCTACGACATAACACTACTGACAAGCCTATAGGTACCTTTTCTAGAATATCTTCTATTTGATTTTCTAAAGGAATCTTGAAAAAAGATTCCAAATCTGTTGAAATATATTGAGGATGAAGAATGTTGTATGTTCCCTCTATGATCGGTATATCTTTCTCGTCACATGGACTTGCTTCTGTATGAGTTTCTTTTTTTCGTTTTGGTAATCCAGCTTTCATCTTTTGAAAATATTATTTTCGGTTATAAATTTTTAGTAAAAAGTGTTTTATTTCATGTATATGAATAATAATTTTGCTTATTTTGAGGAAAAAAATTCCGGAAATGTGATATGATATCGTGTGCGCGTTTAAAAATTATATGGAAGAATATCGAAAAGAGAAAGATATAGGAAAAAGATCAGGTGTATATACAAGACTCGCCGACAATGAATTGTTCTTTATTAAATCTATTCCTTTCGTTGGTCTTGATCATCAAAAAAAGTCAGAATTGGTCTCAAGATATAACCAAATGCTTTCAAAGACTCAGACAATGAAAACTATTGCAAGATTTCATAATCCTATAGTTCAAAATGGAATTCTTAATGCTGCATTAGATTATTGTGGAGAAAACAGTTTAGAAAGAATTATTCGTGAAACAAAAGAAACAAATAATAAATTCTCAGAAGATTTCATTTGGAAACTTATAGCTTTGATTTGCTTAGATCTTTATGATCTCCATACACAGTCTAGACCGATATCACACGGCAGAATCACAACTGATAATGTTTTTCGTCCAAACTCATCTTCAATCAAAGTAGGTATCTGTAATTTAGAGGATTATGAGAGGCTGACACCTCAAGACGATATGTTCCAACTTGGTTGCCTAATTTACGAACTTTTGACACTTGAGTCCTATGACCATGAAATGAACAGTAGCTTCAAGGAAAGAAAACTTCATAACTACAATAAAGATCTTTCAAAGTTAATTATTGAATTAACTCATTCTAATCCAGATAGGCGTCCAAACGTAGTATATGTCCTTGAAAGATTAGAAGTTGCCGTTTACGTTCAAGAAATCAAATACGAAAACGCAAAAGAGATTAATCAAATTTTGAAAGGCGATATTGATCGTTTGCAAATAGAAATCGATGAAAACAAGAAGAAACTTGCTGCAAAAAACTTGTAAAAATGTTTTTCTTTCTTATTTTTTCAAAGAAATCAAATTTTTCAGACTTAAATCGCTCACATGGAGTATATGTTGCTAAAAACAGCTACAGATGAGTTTTGTTGCATTAGTTAAAATGTTTTTTATTTATTTTTCAAAAATATCATCAACAACCTAATTTTTTAAGAGCGAAATTGATGAAAACAAGAAGAAACTTGCTAAAAATGTTTTTTTCTTTAAAAATTCAAAAAATAATTTTTGGTATTTTTTTAATATAACAAAATAATGTAAATAAAATCGAGAATATGATATATGTGGAATTATCCAAATACTTCGGATTTCATTTTCTGAATCATAATGCCGGCTCTTCGATCTTCGTTGATTCCACGAACAATATTCTTAAGTGTTTCGATATCTGTTCCAGACATGACGTTGTTTGCAAGCATATTGATTCTTTTAGCTGCTTGGTCGTTGATTTGAGCTGCAATAAAGATAGAATTAGCAATAAGAGGAGATTCTGCAAGCTCTTCACCCCATGAATGCTGAATGATATCGTTTAAAACGAGTTTGTCAGAATCAGTCAAGAAATAATTAATTGCGAGTTGGTAGTATTTCCCTGCGCTTGCGCCGTAGTCTTTTATTTTCTCGCTAGGTATTAATGAATTTCCGAAGTTATGCTGGCTGCTAATGTAAGACTGAGGGAAATTACGAAAAGCTCCAAGGAAAACTTTTCCAGTATTCGCTGTTTTGATGGGATCAACGACGAGTGCAACCATTGGACCTGTTGCTTGCATAATATTCTGTGCAATGACATCTGTTGTTGAAAGCCAGCAACCATAATCAGGATGAGAGTGATACCAGCCCGAAACGTTAGCAGATTGACGGCCGGATAATTCTAGTGACTCTTTGACTGCAAAGTATTGAACATAGCTTTCTGTAGTGGCGTAGCAATTCGTTTCTGTGCCAAGTGTTGTTGTAGAAAATACGTCATTAACAAGGATTGTATTCTTTGTTGCCTTACCTAAGCAGAAGCCTAAAATTTCATTTCTATCGCCTGCTATGGCGTGATCTACCATTGTAATTAAAGCGCGAGGTGTAATGATGCAAGTCTTGTATAAAACTGGATCCTCGGAATTCTTTACTTCAGCCCATAACTTATTGTACTCTTCGCTATCAAATGTGTAGAAAAATGATTCATCAATATCTTCCATTTTAATTTGTCAAATTTATTAAAAAAAATGCTTGATTTAGTACAGATGCAATAACTTCATAAGGTAACATCAAATCTACAAAAGTCGGTTTCCTGAAAAGTGTTATCGGCGCTTCACACCGATTGAATTAAGACACTATAAAACTTTTTGGCTAATCACTCTGCAATAAATTAGAGCTATATGTTTACATCTTTGTGACTTGATTTTAATACTTTTCAGTGACAATATGATTCACATTCATAAACAAATTCTGGTTCTGAACCATTTGATTGGTTCCTAGTCCATAAATATATTATTTTGCGCAATGAATTCTATAAATATTCGACTGGCAAATTTTTTAATGTCTGATCAAATCGCTCCTTTAAATAAATACATCGAATTGAGAAGTAATTACAAAAATTACATCGACTCATATAATGCGTTGTATCAGCTCAAAGCACAAAATGAAGAAGAAATAAAGGAGATTTACGAAATGATCAAAAGAGAATTGATTGATTCAAATAAACATATTCCCCAAAATATCATAAATGATATTTTAAGTATCATCCCATATAACAATCGCTATACAAAATCATATTTGAAGCTTATCAAACTCATATCAGATGATTATTATGGAAAAGATGTTAAAAGTATTCCACTTACTTCCAGCTTTTATTTTTATAATAAGAAGGGAAATGATTTAGACCGTAGTATTGATTTCCCAGTGATTAATTACGAATATCAAGAAATTCTTACAAAAAATACCATCTACAGAGCAATTATGTATGATGATAAAGAAAGTTTTATCTTTTTCACGGAAAGAGAAGGATTTGATGAAAATAAAAAACTTAAAAGCAAATTATACCCATTTATTTTCGAAGAATTTTCATTACTCGAAATATGCTGTTATTATGGAGCGGTTAATTGTTTTAAGTTATTAAGAACGAATTTTAACTCAGAAATAACAGAATTTTGTCTAAAATTTTCATTTTTAAGAGGAAACAAAGAGATCATTAGTGAATGTTTGAAATATCAGAAGCCAGTACAACACAGCATGCTTTTTGCAATTATTTCGCACAACATTGATTTTGTTACATTCTTGATGAATGAATACAAATTTCAGATTGATCTATTTCAATGTGGATATTTTAAAAATCTTGAAGCATTTTTAGTTTATTTCGATCAAACTAATGATATTAACAAATGCTTTATTCGTTCAGCAATGTTTGATATTCCATCACTTTGTGACTATTTCCTTTCACTTGGAACAAATATCAATGCACGTAATTCTGATGGAGAAACTGCCCTTTATTTTGCAGTGAGCTATAATTGTGGAGCAACAACAGAATTTCTTCTTTCCCATGGCGCAGATATTAATAAAATGCCGAATAATGAAGAAACAGCTCTTTTCATAGCAGCAAAAAATTGTAAAAATTCAGCTGAGGTACTTCTTTCCCATGGTGCAAATATCGATGAAACAAATGAAAAAGGAATGACAGCATTTTGTATAGCTGTATATAAAAATAATAAAGAGATGGTAGATCTCCTACTTTCATACGGTGCAAATCCAAATGAAAGAAATAATAATGGAGAAATCGCTCTAACTCTTGCAGCAAAAAATAATAATAAAGAAATGGTCGAGCTTCTACTTTCTCATGGTGCAAACATAAATGAAAAAAATTATGATGAAAGAACTGCTCTTCATATTGCAGCATATCATGATAATATAGAAATGGTTGAGCTTCTTCTTTCTCATGGTGTAAATATCAATGAAGAAGATAAAAATGCAGAAACTGCTTATGAAATTGCAGCAAATTGTTATTATAAAGAAATAGCTGAACTTCTTCTTACTCATGAGGTGAGTGCTTGACATACCATTTATCATTCTGTGGCTGATGTGCAAAGAAACGAAACAAATTTGAACGAGTTTAAAAATGTTTAAATAATATAATGTGCAATAAATATATTTATCTGTTAGATTTTTTAAAATTAAATGAAATTGCAAATTTGTGAAGGATATGAATTACAAGCCGATACCAATATTGTCAATACTCATTGAAAAATTATTTTTTGAATGATAAAGTATGTTTCGATAATATCCATTTTTATTGAAACAATATGTTTAAATATGATTAAGAGTCTATATCTTCATTATTGAAAAAAGTCAATATTCCAAATCTAGAAATCTTTATGCTGTACACCAGCTTAATATTGAATAGTTGTAAACTAAGGCAGTATTCCGTTAATGTCCGATCAAATCGCTCCTGTAAATAAATACAGCGAATTGAGAAGTAATTACAAATATTACATCGACTCCTATAATGCGTTGTATCAGCTCAAAGCACAAAATGAAGAAGAAATAAATTCCGTTTACAAAATGATCAAAAGAGAATTGATTGATTCAAATAAACATATTCCCCAAAATATCATAAATGATATTTTAAGTATCATCCCATATAACAATCGCTATACAAAATCATATTTGGAACTTATCAAACTCATATCAGATGATTATTATGGAAAAGATGTTAAAAGTATTCCACTTACTTCTTACCTTCATTTTTATAAGGAATACACAAATAATTTAGACTATAATAATAATTTCCAAGAAATTAATGACGAATATCAAGAAATTCTTGTAGAAAATACCATCTACAGAGCAATTATGTATAATGATAAAGAAAGATTTATCTTTTTCATGGAAAGTGAAGGATTTGATGAAAATAAAAAACTTAAAAACAAAATATACCCATTTAGTTTCAAAATAAGTTATTCATTACTTGAATTATGTTGTTATTATGGAGCAGTCGATTGTTTTAAGTTATTAAGAACGAAATTTAACTCAGAAATAACTGAAACATGTCTAGGGTTTTCATTTTTAGGAGGAAATAAAGAGATAATTAGTGAATGTTTGAAATATCAAACACCAGATTTTGATTGCATGAAATATGCAATTATTTCGCACAACATTGATTTCGTTACATTTTTACTCAATGAATACAATTTAAATATAAATTTCATTTTTTGCGGAATATTGAATAATCTTGACGCATTTTTAGTTAATTTTGATCAAACTAATGATATTAACGAAAGTTTTCTTTATTCTGGGATGTTTGATATTCCATCCCTTTGTGACTATTTCCTTTCACATCGCGCAAATATAAATGCAAAATATTTTGATAATAGAACCGCGCTTCGTTTTGCAGTGCGCTATAATTGTGGGAAAACAACGGAATTTCTTCTTTCCCATGGTGCAAATATTAATGAAAAAAATGATGGCTAAAGGACAGTTCTATCATTTGCTGCAGTGAATAATAGTAAAATTTCTGCTGAGATTCTTCTTTCTCATGGTGCAAATGTCAATGAAAAAAATCAATTCGGAATGACGGCCCTCCATGATGCAGTAGAAAAAAATAATAAAGAAATGGTTGAGCTTCTCCTTTCTCATGGTGCAAATGTTAATGAAAAAGATATAGAAGGAAGAACATCTCTTCATATTGCAGTTAATAGTAAATGTATAGAAATGGTTGAGCTTCTTCTTTCTCATGATGCAAATGTCAATGAAGGAGATAAAAATGGAGTAACAGCTCTTCATATTGCAGTTTATAAAAATTGTAAAGAAATAATTGAGCTTCTTCTTTCTCATGGTGCAAATGTCAAAGAAGGAGATAAAAAGGGAGTAACATCTTTAGATATTGCAACAAAATGCTTTTATAAAGAAATAGTTGAACTTCTTCTCTCTCATGGAATTAAAATTAAAAAAAAATCATTCTGGGAAAAAAAATGCAAATGGTTCTTTTAATTATACTACATCTCTGTTAATATTGTGAAATGAAGTAGATTATTCATCGAAATAAATCTGAATTCTTTAATGAACTTTGAATTATCGATACTTTTTGGATTGTTATAAACAATATGTTGCTCCAATGATAGTGCTTATTGAGTTTTTCAAGATAATACATGCAAAATTTCATGTGTGAAATCTATTTCAAAGAAATTTTTGTCAATATATGAATACTATTGAATATTGGCGATAAAAATTATAAGACTGAGTGCTGTTATGACTTTTTTTTCCAGAATATTTTGAAGATATTTAGTAATTATGGGAACACATCTAACTGAGAAGTAGTCTTGAAACTGATTGAATTTTGCTCATCCATTTTAAATGTTATACTTCATTTTCAGATTCCATCAAGATATTATGCTCAATGAGTAATGATTCCATAATATCTTTGCATTTTTCATATTTATGAGACAAGGAACACTTAATTATCTCAAAAAAATTCTCATAATTTTGCAAGAAGATTCATGAAAGGTTATGGCCATCTCACACTGGCTTTATCAACCATGACTTTTCAATCTTACGTGCAAAAAGTTGGTGAGAGATTGCTTTTCTCCTTTGATCCTGTCAATGTTTCAAATTGTCAATTTATTAATTTGAAAAACAATGCAATTTCTGGCGGAGCAATTATATGTTTTGCTGCTATGAGGCTTCTAAACTGCGAATTTCATGGATGTCTTGCAAAAAATGGAGGAGCAATCGCTGTTCACAGTTCATTTTTCGGAAATTACTTAACATTTAAATCATGCGAATCTATAAACAATGCAGGTACCATATATCATCAAAGTAAATATGTAAACGAGTTTAATTTAAACGCTACAGCCGTCATAAGTAGCAAATCGCCATATTTTGGCTCAATCGTCAAAAGATCGCTTGGCTCAACAATTGTAAGCTCTTTAAATATCTCAAATTCGCAAGCAACAGAGTGTGTTGGATCATTTGAATTTGAAAATGGTCCAACTTTAATTTCTTTCTTAAATATTGACAGATCTAAAGCTAATGCGCATAATGGAGCTGGATGCATCCGCTCTCCAGTAGCTTTAGACATAAAATATTCGATTTTCAAATATTGTACGCATAATTCTTACATAGACAATGTTGCAACAGCATTAATAATATACTCAAGTTCATTCCAATCAAAAATTACCGATACATACTTTGTTTTTTGTCAAAATCAAAACACAAATACGCTAACTGTTGCAGATGGAAGCCCTGTTAAGGTACAGTCGTGTTACTTTACTGGTACAAGAGAGGAAGAGCTCGGAAAGCAGGTTCTTGTCGATGTTTCTGACACAACTTTCGGAGGAACTTTCCGACTTCCACATTTTTCATACAGGGAAATTGGTTTTCAGAAAGGAATTCAAATAGACGATAATATTTACAACAGTGATCGTATTTTTAACTCAGCAACAATTTCTCTCTTGATTGGCTTAACAATTGCTGTTTCTTTCACTTTCATTCACATGAAATTCCATATTGTATTTAATAAGCTTACAAAGCTTAATAGAGAAATGCTTTAATATATTGTTTTGTTTTGTATTTATAAAAATTTGTTTATTTTACTGAATATTTTTAGCAAAATACCGCCAATACTTGAGGAAATATTAGTTGTCAATCATAAACGCTTAAATAGACTATCTAAAATATAAGGAAAAAGATAAATTTAACATAAAATATAGAATGTCGCTATGTTGATTGAATAATTTATATGTATTTAGAATTTATATTTATATTTTGAACGTGTATCCTAAAGAAATTATTAAATCAAATGAGATTCACAATAAAATGCACGTATATTGAATAATTTTGATTAACCAAATATTCATTCATAATAATAGATCAATGACATAAGCAAAAAGTTAATATGCGCAAAATAAGAGCAAATTAAGAAGTAATCTCAACTATTTTGAATGGTTCTAACATATATCTAAGTTACGAATTTTATATATAAGCATAATAAAAGCATTATGGAAGCTCTTTCTCATTCATTATTGAAAATTCTTTTCGGATCATTAAAAAAATTGAAAGTTGATTTATCAGCATATGCGAACATATATATAATCTTTGTTAATTAATTGTTCATATATATTTAATAAGAAAATTCAAAGTTTTTTTTGAAAAATAAGAAGAATAATTTGAATATAGATAGAATTTAACAATACATTTATATGACAAAGATAAAATTTATGGAATAAGGTCGCGAGTCACTGAATCATCACTGCCGCCGGCACCTCCGTTTCCATAATCAACGAGTTCGTTATAAATGAAGCATGGGAGTTTGATAAATCTGTTGTATATCAATGTTCCAAGGACTGCGAGGAAGAATCCTGATAATTCGACGATTGAATATTTATCAACTTTTTCTCCTGCAGTATGGTTCTTTGCTAAGTAGTATGTCATTACAGAGAATGCCCAAACGAAGAATGGACGAACCATTTCGTACATATTACGGTGAATAGCTGAAGAATAAGATGTAATTACAATACCGCAGTAGAAATAGATCGATGCTGTAAGAACGAGACCGAATAAGAATAAGCAGAGTTGTGATGAGTATTTTAGCCTCTCAATGCAAAGTTTTGAATTCTCATAAATTCCAACTCCATAAGAACGTGGAACTGCATTGATTACAGGGGTGCAAATGCATAGGTTGAAGAAGAATGTCCATACTCCTTCGTATGCAGCTACTTCTATTGGTTCTGCAAGTTTATCATGAGTTAATTCTTCTTCTTTAATTGTTTGGAAGGATCTGAAACCATGGGAAACAATAACTAGCAAGAAGGATATGAAGAGTTGGTAAATTGATGTATTATTATCGGCAATACCTCTGATCATTGTTGCAACGCCTGCAAGACAGATTCCAGCGACAGTAATAAAGAGACCAAGCCAGTCAACCAAGAATAATCTCTGGTGTCTGTATGTAACTGCAAACAAGGTTGTGAATAAAATTGTAAAGCCATGGAATAATTGCCAGACTGTAGTCACCATATACATCAAAGCGTAACTCTGGAGTGATGATGATACAAGAAAGAGTACTGATGGCATTCCAACTATACGGAAAAGGTGTATTCCACGAGGAGATTGGTCATTTTTGGAGGCAGGACATGTGCATCGCTTGATAACGGATACAATTAAAAGCAATGTAAGACCAAATGATATCGCGGTGTTGATAAACCATGGATTTTGGAAAGTTAATTCGAGACCGTACTTATAAGTGAAAGCATACTTTAAAAGAAAGTTGTTTAAAACAGGATAGATGGAACCGGCTGCAAAAAGAAAGATAAGATGTAATATTTTGAAAATTTTACGGTGAGGAACGGCGTTTCTCATAAATTTTATATCGTGAAAAAAGTGACAAAATATATCCAATCGATCATGATGGTTTCGCATTTTTTTGTCTTGCAATAGAAAGTTCATTTTAATGAAGGATTGGCCTTGCATTAAATAGTTGCCAGACATGATTATTCCTCAAAAAATTATTCCAAAATCTAGAGATTAATATTTAAATAGTAACTGATGAGTCGTAGTGAATTACGTGAAAAGAGATTGATGCACATGTTTATAGTATTTAATGAAATTCGGGTATTAATATTTCAATGAAATAAAATTGATAATTCATATGGTGAGAGATAATTGTTTAGCATATTTCATGTTTTTATTGAAAATGTCTAATCACTACCTAATATCAAGCTTTAAAAATTTTATAAAAAAGACTACATTTTAAAATTGATGAATATTTCTCAAATAGAAGGAAATGATATTCACATCTAATGTCAATGGCATTCAGAAGTGATGTTAAAAGAACAATTTATAATCGAAATCATGAGAAATGTTCTTTAATGATATGAAACTGACAAAAAACTATATGTTATCCAAAATATAATAAAATGTAATACATAATCAGTTCTATTTATTAACCCGTTCTATGAAAAGTTCAATTTTTCTATTGTTTTGGAGCATCAACCTTGAAGTGTGTATGATACATATCATAGCATTGCTTGATGATCCTCTTTGCGTGGCCAGCACCCATTGGTTTGAATGTGCGGACTTCCTTGCGCTCAAGAGTCTTGTAATCGTTGAAGAATTGGTTGATCATGAGAAGCTTGAATGGTGGGAGCTCGCTAACATCGTAGTAAATGTTGTATTCTGGATCTGAAACTGCAACAGCGATGATCTTATCATCTGGATCTCCACCATCAACCATTGGCATAATACCGATTGGTCTGACTTTCATCAATGAAAGCGGTGGAACAGAAAGCTGGCAGAGGACGAGAATATCAAGTGGGTCATTATCTTCTGCAAGTGTTTCTGGAATGAAACCGTAGTTAGCTGGATAGATAACTGATGAGTGGAGAATTCTGTCGACCTTGAGAAGACCAGATGGCTTATCAAGTTCTGTTTTAACACGAGATAAAGCTGGGATTTCGATTACAGCTGATACAATATCTGGATATGATGGGCCGATTGGAACGCCATGCCATGGGTGAGCAACAGATAATGTTCTTTCTGTTGGGCATGTGATTTGTTTCTTCTGGCCACCGATCTTTTGATAAAGTGAATCCATGTAATCATGATATTCCTTATCCTCCTTAGAAATAAGAAGGCCGTCCTTCATAACAACATGATCATCGACCTCGTCAGCGATCTGAACAGTCATTAAATGATAATAATATTTTTCTTGTCAATTCAATTGAGACCAAAACCATTTTTATTATCATTTCTTTAATTTTTGTTGAATTTATATATATTAATAAAATATTAACCTGTTAATAACCGTAATTCCTTCTCAATAAATTCTGAATTATTTATTTAATTTGAATTGAACGCTAGCATTTTCTTTCAATTTTCAAAATTAATAGGCCACGTATTTAATTGCTGCACCAATAGCAAAACTCAGAGAATCTTGTTCAATCAACAATTTTTTTTTAACAATTGGCTTTGGGTAACATTGAATTAATTTCTATCGCATACGCTATGAAGGGAATTATAATATTGTGTAACAATTAAGACAAACCTTTTAAATGCAAATTGTTTCATTCATTTTGAATATATTTCGCTTTGAAAAAATCCAAAAATATCGCATGTATTTGCCTATAATTAGATGCCGCTAACGATCGAGATGACAGTAATTCAATTTTTGAGAACTGTTTTTGAAAGAATGATGGGGAATAAAGTATTGGAACCGAATTTATGGATAAAACAATCTTCTTGGTCGGTAAGTAATTCATTAATATTACTAGTAGTAATATTGGTATTGTTGCATGCTAAGTTCGGTCAACGATAGGAATTGAGGGGAAATTAATCGTCGAGGAAGTACGATTATGTAAAGTAAAAAAATGTTGTGGGATTTTTAATATTGTATATAATTTTATAATAAAATTTTTGTGAGACATTTTAAGAAGCACATATAATTTTTTGAATTTAAAAATTAAAGTAGTGTTGAATGAATTTATTGATTAATTTAATACGGATATTTCTCAAAATTAATCAAAAATAGGTTTTCAGAGAACTTTTGAGATATCTTTTCAAAATGTCTTTTTGAAAATATATAAGTATTATATCAAATTGAAAAAAGGTATTTATCAAAATTCTAAATTCTTAATAAAAAATAACTTTTCAGAGGATTGTGATTTTGAAAGCATGAGTAATAAGTAAAAAATATCTACGATTTTAATGAGGGAATTGTTCCTTATGAGGTATACATTATAACTATATACCTCATAAGGAACAATTCCCTCTTGATAGCTGGGAAACTTTCTCTGAATAACTTATCATTTGGAGAAAGTTTCCCAGCTATCTATTAGAAACTAAAGGCTGTGAGGCACTAATATATAATCAGTGCCTCATAGCCTTTAGTTTCTTATTAAAAACGAGAAAACTTGTTCGAAATGATAAACAATTTCGAACAAGTTTTCTCGTTTTAAGGAGGGAATTGTTCCTTATGAGGTATACATTATAACTATATACCTCATAAGGAACAATTCCCTCTTGATAGCTGGGAAACTTTCTCTGAATGTTAAACTATTCGGACAAAGTTTCTCCCATTTGTAGTGGAGATGGAAGGCTTTGAGGTATATTATATTAATATGTACCCCAAAGCCTTCCATCTCCACTTGAAAGTTCCAAAACTTTGGGTTAATGTCTTGCAATTAACCCAAAGTTTTGGAACTTTCTAGAAGGAATTGCAGGGTAATAGGTATATATTCATACTATGTACCTCTTACCCTGCAATTCCTTCTTAAAATGGGAGAAACTTTGTCCGAATGTTAAACTATTCGGACAAAGTTTCTCCCATTTGTAGTGGAGATGGAAGGCTTTGAGGTATATTATATTAATATGTACCCCAAAGCCTTCCATCTTTATTGTACAATTTAAAAATTCAGGAAAAATGTAATAAGATTTTTATAAAAATTAAGCGTTTATTCGTAATTGTGTATTCAATGGTTCAGTATTTCTTTGATTTCGAAGTGTCCATCAATCATAACTCTCCAAAATGGCGTTTCACCCTGTTTCCAATGTGGTGTCTCATTGTAACACTCTTCTGGAGTCATGGGGCGAAAACCCTTTTTGGGAAGGGTTTTATGTGGTACTGAGTTGTAATTTTTCCTGAATTTATCAAAAAATTCATGAATTTGTTTTGCATTTGAAGACCGGCCGACATTTCTTTCAAGAGACGGCCAGAGCCTTTCAATCTTGCCGTTCTGGTGCGGCATATGGGGGAGAGTGTGGCGGATTTGAATGTTGTTTCGCATGAGCCAATTATAAAATTGGCACATATTCTCTCCCCCGTTGTCGGACCAGAAACAAAATGGCTTCTGATATAAGCCAATCGTTTCTTCGGCAACTCTTGTTGTAGATTCGGAAGATTTATTTGGCAAAATTTTTAAAGCCAACAAAAACCGAGATTTATCGTCTATTATACCATAAACAGGTAACCTCTGTGAACCGTATAAAAAATGAACATCTACATGCCATATGGTATCAGGTTTTGTTGCTTCATATGGCGTATAATATTTTTGAGGGGGCCTGTCACTTTTTGGTTCTTTGATCTCCAAATTACTGTAAATTCTTCTGAGTTTATTGTAGGAAACTGAATAAACATTTTGATCCATGTTTAAACGCCAAAACATCTTTTGGATTCCGCACTTATATTCCTGAAATTTTTGGAGAACATATTGCAAATTTTCAGGAGTAATATCATCTGGTGCCGGACCAGGTTTAACGTTTGGGGGCGTTAAATTTGCATTTGTGTATGCTGCTTTAAGTGTGTTTTTCGAAATTGATCTAAATTAGTTAGTATGACTATCTTGGGTACGGAGGCACTGCGTTCCCTTGTTATGTGAATTTGACACTTTACAAAAATGTTAACGTATATTTTACAACATAAACGACTTCACTAACGACTTCACTAACGAATTCACTAATGTTTTCACAAACGACTTCACTAATGTAAAAATAAACGTTCTCACTTACAAAAGTATTGCAACTCCTCCCATTGCTGTGCTTCACACAATACTTCATATTCTTCAGTATCGCTGCTGTCCCTCCTTTTTATATAACTCCATGACATTTATAATCTCGCGAAACTTAACAGGTAGCATAACAGATTAAAATCAGATGAGGTTTTGAACCAAAATTTCTAAGCAACGTTGTCAAGGATTTTGAGGAACTAGGGACAGAGTGTGGCAAAGTCCAAGATTTAATTTATCTTCATCTGTTTCATCAGCTATCTCATCTAATATGCCAATATTTTATTCATAACTCGTGGCAAACTCACTAACTTTCATTATGTTCATCTGCATGCTTCATCTGATAGAAAGTATGACTTTCATTAACTCTGTGAGATAATGAAAACTACTAGGGACAGAGACCATGGCAAAGTTCATGATTTAATTTATTCTCTCACTAACAACAAACACAAACTCCAACACTAACATCAAGTACTAACTTCAGCACAAATGACAAACGCTAACAACAAACACAAACTCCAACACTAACATCAAGTACTAACTTCAGCACAAATGACAAACACTAACAACAACCACAAACTCCAACACTAACGACAAAAATAAATGTCCTCACTTCTTAACAAAGTAATATGTGCTTCTTACACCACCATAGCTCAAACGTTTCTTTTCAAACATCGATTGAAACTTATTTTGAGCCATTGGTTTTAGTCTCTTTTTCTTCAAATACGCCAAGAAATCTTCTTCACATCTTTTCACTTCATAGCCTTCTTTAAACTCCTCCTTGTTAAGTTCTATGAAATCCTTTATAACATTCTTTGTTGCAATGGCTTCTTCACGAACGACATCGTGAACTATTTCAACACTGTTCTCATGTATGACCTCCTCACTGTTCTCGTGAACTATTTCATCACTGTTCTCATGTATGACCTCCTCACTGTTCTCATGAACTATTTCATCACTGTTCTCATGAACGACCTCCTCACTGTTCTCATGAACTATTTCATCACTGTTCTCATGTATGACCTCCTCACTGTTCTCATGAACTATTTCATCACTGTTCTCATGAACGACCTCCTCACTGTTCTCGTGAACTATTTCATCACTGTTCTCATGTATGACCTCCTCACTGTTCTCATGAACTATTTCATCACTGTTCTCATGAACGACCTCCTCACTGTTCTCATGAACTATTTCATCACTGTTCTCATGAACGACCTCCTCACTGTTCTCATGAACTATTTCATCACTGTTCTCATGTATGACCTCCTCACTGTTCTCATGAACTATTTCATCACTGTTCTCATGTATGACCTCCTCACTGTCTTTCATAAGCGTTTCAAAGTCTCCTTTACAAAAACAGGTGCTGCTTATGTTTGTATGATAGATACAGAAAACAAGAGTGTAATCTTATTCATAAACAAATTCAAACGCTTGTACGGCTTCATGTAGGACAAACATTATTTTTCAACACTAACGCCAACACGTAGGACAAACATTCATGACTAACATTACTGTATAACATAAATGTTTTGTTATGATTTCTTCGTATATGTTTTGTCATGACTTCATCGTAAATGCTTTGTCAAACATAAACGTAAATGTTTTGTCATGACTTCTTCGTATATGTTTTGTCATGACTTCTTCGTATATGTTTTGTCATGACTTCATCGTAAATGTTTTGTCAAACATAAACGTAAATGTTTTGTCATGACTTCATCGTAAATGTTTTGTCATGACTTCATCGTATATGTTTTGTCATGATTTCATCGTATATGTTTTGTCATGACTTCATCGTATATGCTTTGTCATGACTTCATCGTATATGTTTTGTCATGATTTCATCGTATATGTTTTGTCATGACTTCTTCGTATATGTTTTGTCAAGACTTCATCGTATATGTTTTGTCATGATTTCATCGTATATGTTTTGTCATGATTTCATCGTATATGTTTTGTCATGACTTCTTCGTATATGTTTTGTCATGACTTCTTCGTATATGTTTTGTCATGATTTCATCGTATATGCTTTGTCATGACTTCATCGTATATGTTTTGTCAAGACTTCTTCGTATATGTTTTGTCATGACTTCTTCGTATATGTTTTGTCATGACTTCATCGTAAATGTTTTGTCAAACATAAACGTAAATGTTTTGTCATGACTTCATCGTAAATGTTTTGTCATGATTTCATCGTATATGTTTTGTCATGATTTCATCGTATATGTTTTGTCATGACTTCATCGTATATGTTTTGTCATGATTTCATCGTATATGTTTGTCAAGACTTCATCGTATATGCTTTGTCATGACTTCATCGTATATGTTTTGTCATGACTTCATCGTATATGTTTTGTCATGACTTCATCGTAAATGTTTTGTCATGACTTCTTCGTAATGAACGTAAATGTTTTGTCAAAACTTCATCGTACATGTTTTGTCATGACTTCATCGTATATGTTTTGTCATGACTTCATCGTATATGTTTTGTCAAGACTTCTTCGTATATGTTTTGTCATGACTTCATCGTAAATGTTTTGTCAAACATAAACGTAAATGTTTTGTCATGACTTCATCGTAAATGTTTTGTCATGACTTCATCGTAAATGTTTTGTCATGATTTCATCGTATATGTTTTGTCATGATTTCATCGTACATGTTTTGTCATGACTTCTTCATCGTAAATGTTTTGTCATGATTTCATCGTATATGTTTTGTCAAGACTTCTTCGTAATGAACGTAAATGTTTTGTCATGACTTCATCGTAAATGTTTTGTCATGACTTCATCGTAAATGCTTTGTCATGACTTCATCGTATATGTTTTGTCATGACTTCATCGTATATGTTTTGTCATGACTTCTTCGTAAATGTTTTGTCATGATTTAATCGTATATGCTTTGTCATGACTTCATCGTATATGCTTTGTCAAAACTTCTTCGTATATGCTTTGTCATGACTTCTTCGTAAATGTTTTGTCATGATTTCATCGTACTGAACGTATATGTTTTGTCATGACTTCATCGTATATGTTTTGTCATGACTTCATCGTAAATGTTTTGTCATGATTTCATCGTATATGTTTTGTCATGACTTCATCGTATATGCTTTGTCATGACTTCATCGTATATGTTTTGTCATGATTTCATCGTATATGTTTTGTCATGACTTCATCGTATATGTTTTGTCAAGACTTCATCGTAAATGTTTTGTCATGATTTCATCGTATATGTTTTGTCATGACTTCATCGTATATGCTTTGTCATGACTTCATCGTATATGTTTTGTCATGATTTCATCGTATATGTTTTGTCATGACTTCATCGTATATGTTTTGTCAAGACTTCTTCGTATATGCTTTGTCATGACTTCTTCGTATATGTTTTGTCAAGATTTAATCGTATATGCTTTGTCATGACTTCATCGTAAATGTTTTGTCATGATTTCTTCATCGTATATGTTTTGTGAAGAATATAACAACCGCCTGAATTCAGACGGTTGCTTTTTATACAAAATTCACGCAGGAAAATTCTTGAGTTTTGGTTGAAAGAATAGGGTCAAGCCAAAAGTGGCTCGACCTCAAAACAAACATTTTATGAGCTTACTAAGGCGTTATGAATGAATTCAAAGGTATTTGCATACATGCTGACCTCGTTCCTTTTGTTGCTGAATTCAGCAAAAATAATGTTTAGGGTAGATGGTTTTTAGGTGTCACTACGTCACCATGTCACCAGGTTAATTAACTTCTCTTAAAATTACTGACAACATGACATTTAGACAACAGTCCAGGAAATAAACTTCATCGTAAATGTTTTGTCAAACATAAACGTATATGTTTTGTCAAGACTTCATCGTAAATGCTTTGTTATGACTTCATCGAAACTAAACGTATATGCTTTGTCATGACTTCATCGTAAATGTTTTGTCAAGACTTCTTCGTATATGCTTTGTCATGACTTCTTCGTAAATGTTTTGTCAAGATTTCATCGTATATGCTTTGTCATGACTTCTTCGTATATGCTTTGTCAAAGTTCATCGTATATGCTTTGTCAAACTTCATCGAATATGCTTTGTCATGATTTAATCGTATATGCTTTGTCATGACTTCATCGTAAATGTTTTGTCAAGACTTCTTCGTATATGCTTTGTCATGACTTCTTCGTAAATGTTTTGTCAAGATTTCATCGTATATGCTTTGTCATGACTTCATCGAAACTAAACGTATATGTTTTGTCATGACTTCTTCGTAAATGTTTTGTCATGACTTCTTCGTAAATGTTTTGTCAAGATTTCATCGTATATGCTTTGTCATGACTTCATCGAAACTAAACGTATATGCTTTGTCATGACTTCATCGTAAATGTTTTGTCAAGACTTCTTCGTATATGCTTTGTCATGACTTCTTCGTAAATGTTTTGTCAAGATTTCATCGTATATGCTTTGTCATGACTTCTTCGTATATGCTTTGTCAAAGTTCATCGTATATGCTTTGTCAAACTTCATCGAATATGCTTTGTCATGATTTAATCGTATATGCTTTGTCATGACTTCTTCGTAAATGTTTTGTCAAGATTTCATCGTATATGCTTTGTCATGACTTCATCGAAACTAAACGTATATGTTTTGTCAAGACTTCATCGTAAATGTTTTGTCATGATTTCATCGTATATGTTTTGTCATGATTTCATCGTATATGCTTTGTCAAGACTTCATCGTATATGCTTTGTCAAGACTTCATCGTATATGTTTTGTCATGACTTCTTCGTAAATGCTTTGTCAAACATAAACGTATATGCTTTGTCAAACATAAACGTATATGCTTTGTCAAACTTCATCGTATATGCTTTGTCAAGACTTCTTCGTAATGAGCGTAAATGACTAAAAATAATGTTTAGGTGAAGAGGTGAGATTTCACCTAATTTTTCACCTCTTTTTTCACCCTGTTGAATTTTCATGATTTCATCGTAAATGTTTTGTCAAACATGAGCGTATATGCTTTGTCAAACATGAACGTATATGCTTTGTCATGATGATTTCATCGTTAATGATTTGTCAAACATGAACGTATATGCTTTGTCAAGACTTCTTCGTATATGCTTTGTCATGATGATTTCATCGTATATGCTTTGTCATGACTTCATCGTATATGTTTTGTCAAGATTTCATCGTATATGCTTTGTCAAACATGAGCGTATATGCTTTGTCATGACTTCTTCGTAATGAGCGTAAATGACTAAAAATAATGTTTAGGTGAAGAGGTGAGATTTCACTTAATTTTTCACCTCTTTTTTCACCCTGTTGAATTTTCATGATTTCATCGTAAATGTTTTGTCAAACATGAACGTAAATGATTTGTCAAACATGAACGTATATGCTTTGTCATGATGATTTCATCGTTAATGATTTGTCAAACATAAACGTATATGCTTTGTCAAACATAAACGTATATGCTTTGTCATGATGATTTCATCGTTAATGAACGTATATGCTTTGTCAAGACTTCTTCGTATATGCTTTGTCAAACTTCATCGTATATGCTTTGTCAAACTTCATCGAATATGCTTTGTCAAGACTTCTTCGTAATGAGCGTAAATGACTAAAAATAATGTTTAGGTGAAGAGGTGAGATTTCACCTAATTTTTCACCTCTTTTTTCACCCTGTTGAATTTTCATGATTTCATCGTAAATGTTTTGTCAAACATGAACGTATATGCTTTGTCAAGACTTCATCGTATATGTTTTGTCATGATTTCATCGTATATGCTTTGTCATGACTTCATCGTATATGTTTTGTCAAACATGAACGTATATGCTTTGTCAAGACTTCTTCGTATATGCTTTGTCATGATGATTTCATCGTATATGCTTTGTCATGACTTCATCGTATATGTTTTGTCAAGATTTCATCGTATATGCTTTGTCAAACATGAGCGTATATGCTTTGTCATGACTTCTTCGTAATGAGCGTAAATGACTAAAAATAATGTTTAGGTGAAGAGGTGAGATTTCACTTAATTTTTCACCTCTTTTTTCACCCTGTTGAATTTTCATGATTTCATCGTAAATGTTTTGTCAAACATGAACGTATATGCTTTGTCAAGACTTCGTCGTAAATGTTTTGTCATGACTTCATCGTATATGCTTTGTCATGATTTCATCGTATATGCTTTGTCATGACTTCATCGTAAATGATTTGTCATGACTTCTTCGGAAATGTTCCTCTCGCATCAGGTTTGTCATCATCTGCAGCACTTCTGTGCGCGATTGCTATGGGTCTCGACCTTATGACAGGCGGTGGTGCAGACAAGGGCAAGCTTGTTGAATCATGTGTTGAAGCAGAGCACCGCGTCGGTGTCATGTGTGGCGGCATGGACCAAGCAATTTCTATCCTCGGCGAGAAAGATCATGCATGCGTCATCTCATTCGTTCCAAAGATCGCAGCAAGACCAGTCAA